TACAATTTTCGACCCTAAGTGTCGAAAATATAAAAAAAAAAAAAAAAAAAAAAAAAAAAAAATTTACACAGATCTAATTTGACAGGTAGCTGTCGAAAATTGGTTGAATATTCGACAGCTAGCTGTCGAAAACTCATCCAAATTTTGACAGCTATCTGTCGAATTATCAAAAATCCCATTTCAAGCTTTCACATTTTTCGACAACTATATGTCGATTTTTGATGAATTTTCGACATCAAGCTGTCGAAAATTCATCAAAAATCGACATATACAGGTCGAAAATTGTGAACGAAGAACCAACCCACGAATCTCAAATCAATGCTCAAATCGACTGAAATTAGATGCACCCATTACTAATTAACGATCATTTCTACCTAAAACAATCAAATCCTAATTACCCATATCAAACAATCAAATCCTAAGTAAATATTAAAGAAAAAAAATTCGAAAAAAATTATTACTTGGATGAATGAAACCGGAACGAAGAAGCGGCGGCGGGTTGATAACAATGGACGAAGAAGCGGCGGCGGCGTTCAGCGGCGGCGGCGGCGGCGGCGGCGGCGGCGGCGAGGGTTGGAGAGGGTTGGAGGTTTTTTTTTTACAACAAAGGGATTTTTTTCTTTTTTTTTTTTATTTGGTTTTTGATTAGGTAATTTCTAATAAAATTTGATATAATTGATTTTTTGTATAAAAGGGTGTTTTTGTAATTTTCTTTTTATTTTGGTATTAAAGTAAGAAAAAACTGATAAATATGTACTCAATTTTGGTTTTAAACTTGGTAGTATTCAAGTAAGCAAAAGTTAGTATTTGAAATAGTTGCCCCCAATAAAGAATTCTCATTAAAAAAAGAAATGATGTTAAGCCAAACACAACCTTACCCCCTATCCGGCCACCAAGCATCCACGTCACCGTACGGATCCTGAACCCACGTGTCATCTTCTCAACTGCTAAACAACAACCAACTCCCTCTCAACTCAAAATTGAAAACTCCAAGAAAAGAAAAAACAAAATTAAATCGAAAGCCATGATCCACAATTTGAACACAATTACACGTCGACCCACATCAGCAAACCCTCTTCTCTCTGCAACAAAGCAATCACTCAATTCCATATTTTCTCGCAGAATTACAATGCACTCCTCTTCCAACGCTGCCAGAGCTTCACAGATAGTCCACCACGTCCCGGGCTCCGGGTCGCCGGATGAAACGGGTCGGATCGCCGACCAGACATTCACCAGGTACAGCACCACTTCCGACCGGAAAGGCAAAGGGGTTGCGATTGTTTGGTTCAGAAACGATCTGAGAATCCTGGACAACGAGGTTTTGTTCAAGGCCTGGGTTTCGTCCGAGGTTGTCTTGCCCGTTTACTGTATCGATCCTAGACTCTTCGGCGCCACCCATTTCTTCGGCTTCCCCAAAACTGGAGGTACATATATTTATATATGGTAAATTACGAAAAACCCCTTGAACTTAGGTTAAATTACAAAAATACCCCTACTTATCGGTAATTACCAAAATCCACCTGACATTTGTTTCCGTCTAACATCGACCGCCTTATAGTGTGATATTTTTTTTTATTCGATGGAATATTTCCCGAAAAATGTCAATTCTACCCCTAAAAATAGTTTCTTTGATGTCGCATTGCAATGTCACTACATTTCGTGGATTGTTAGTACGAGGTTTCGGGTTTTTGGGCTTTTGGGTTTTCGATTTCACGATTTTTTTTTTATTCGAGGGAATATTCCCCAAAAAAATGTCAATTTTACCCCTAAAAATAGTTTCTTTGATGTCGCATTGCAATGTCACTACATTTCGTCGATTGTTAGTACGAGGTTTCGGGTTTTTGGGCTTTTGGGTTTTCGATTTTCACGATTTTTTTTTTATTCGAGGGAATATTCCCCAAAAAAATGTCAATTTTACCCCTAAAAATAGTTTCTTTGATGTCGCATTGCAATGTCACTACATTTCGTCGATTGTTAGTACAAACTATCGTAGCACGCATAAACATTTTTTTTTAACATTTGGAGCATGACTACCTTCAGTATGTTCTACGTCCGTAGGGGTAAAATTGACATTGTTGGGGAAATATTTTCTGGAATAATAAAAAAGTTTGCATGAAAAACAATACCGTGAGGGGGTCGATGTAAATCGGAAACCAATGTCGAGGAGATTTTGGTAATTAGGGATAGGTGGGGGTGGTTATCGTAATTCAGTCTAAGTTCAGGGAGTTTTTCGTAATTTACCCCAATATGAATATTATTTATTTATTGCTGAAATTAATTCAAATATATTCCTCTGTATATTTATACAAATACTAATCTTCAATGGCAGCTCTGAGAGCACAGTTTCTTACAGAGTGTTTGGCAGACTTAAAAACAAATTTGATGAAAAGGGGTCTCAACCTCTTAATCCAGCGTGGCAAACCCGAGCAAATTCTCCCTTCTCTTGCTAAAACATATGGGGCCCACACTGTTAAGACATAACCTTAAATTTTCAATATTCGTAATTTCGACGATCGAGTTTTGTAAAACCCGAACTAATTCGTTCGATCTGAATAACGTTGACAGGTTTACGTGCAGAAAGAAACGTGCAGCGAGGAGATAAACGTCGAGAGACGTGTTTCCCAGAATTTGCAGAAAGAGTTCGTAGTATCTACAAAACTAGAATTGATATGGGGTTGTACTATGTACCATGTCGATGACCTCCCGTTCGATTGTACGTCGTTACCAGATGTTTATACTCAGTTTCGTAAGGTATATATATATATATATATATATATATATATATATATATATATATATATATATATATATATATATATATATATATATATATATATATATATATATATATATATATATATATATATATATATATATATATATATATATATATATATATATATATATATATATATATATTATTACAAGAGTCGTCTTTCTCGTATTTCCATATTTCAGCTCTCTGATGATCGAATATATGTAAATTCGCAGTCGGTCGAGTCGAAATCTGTTGTAAGGAGATGTATTAGGGTTCCGCCGTCACTTGGTCCGTCGCCGAATGTTGAAGATTGGGGATGCGTTCCGGAAACTTCTTCGCTTGGGGTCGAGCCTATAAAGGCATGTTTACTTATTCGTTTCTCGATACAAATTTCTCTTGCTTTACGGGGCTTATTATTTTTTTTATTTTTTTTTATTTTTATTGGTTGTAAATATGTTTGTATCGATGGATAGTAGGTTGTAAAAGGAATGGCATTTGCAGGGGGTGAAAGTGCGGCGTTGAGTAGAGTGCACGAGTATTTCTGGAAGAAGGTGAACAACGTTTTCTCGTGTTCTGTTTCCAGTTATAGAAAGTTATTTTATTCGATTAAATTTTTTATTTTTATTTTTTTTTAAACTTTGTGTAGGATCTCATTAGGACATATAAAGTGACACGTAATGGAATGTTGGGGTCCGATTATTCGACAAAATTTTCTCCTTGGCTCGCCTCCGGAAGCCTTTCGCCTCGTTTCATTTACGAAGAGGTATTTCAAATTTTTTTTTACTTTTTTTTTTTGGTGAAGACACTAATTAATGCTGAAATGCAATAATTTATTATTTAGGTGAAGAGATATGAAAAACAAAGAGAAGCAAATGATTCAACATACTGGTATTTTTTTCTCTCTGTTCTTGATTCTTAATCAAGAAAACACGATGCCCTTATTCTTGATAATTCATTCTTTGCAACCCTAATTTCAAGATTAGCCCAATTCGGAAATGTTATAAATGTTCGTTTTTTCAAGGGTGTTATTTGAGCTTATATGGAGGGACTACTTCCGATTTCTATCGATCAAGCAAGGGAACTCTCTTTTTCATGCAGGTAAAAAAAGAAATTTAAAAAACATCTCTCGATTTCTACGATGCATGCAATGCTGATTTTTAGGAATTTAAAAAACATTTGCAGGTGGCCCTCGGAAAGTACAGACTAATTGGAGCCAAAATCGAGCACTTTTTGATGCATGGAAAGATGGTCGGACCGGGTAAAATATAATTTATTTTTATAAAGAACATAATTTGTTTATATATATACCTTCGAGATATTAACGTTTGGCGAACTTTTTAGGTACCCTTTAATCGATGCGAATATGAAAGAATTATCGAGTACGGGATTCATGTCGAACCGTGGGCGACAAGTGAGTTTTAACCTTATTTTCTCCCGTCTCGAAATATTATACGAGTACTAATTGTGATCGATGAAAATGTACTATCGATGAATGTGGGCAGATTGTGTGTTCGTTTCTTGTTCGAGATATGGGCATTGACTGGAGAATGGGAGCCGAATGGTTCGAGACGTGTCTTCTGGACTACGATCCTTGTTCTAATTACGGTAATTGGACTTACGGAGCAGGTAATAATATATAATATTATAATATTTCCCGAAAATATTTTTAATTTTGCATATTTAAATTTGAAATGACTTTATTATAAACTGAAGAAAAATGCCGTTGCCGTTGACTTTTTTTTCTTGACTAGGTGTTGGGAATGACCCGAGAGAGGATCGTTATTTCAGCATACCAAAGCAAGTATGTTACTTCGACTTAATCTTTTCACTGAAATATAATCGATTTTTTTCTAAGCTTTCGTTGATGCGAATTTCAGGCTCAAAACTACGATCCCGAAGGCGAATACGTGGCGTATTGGTTGCCTCAGCTACGAGCATTGCCTAAAGAGAAGAGACATAATCCTGGAATGATGCTGTACATAAAGACGATCGTACCCCTCAAATTTGGAAACACGAAACCGACGAGTAACAGAACGCGAGACGACAGATGGAAGACCAATACAGGGAGATAGCGAAATACCGGTTTTGTTTAATTTAATCGATTTCGCCGAGACGAACATGATTTAATACTTTCTGAATTTATTTAATTATTTATTTATTTTATCAAATTGTTGTGCAGTTATAACTTATGACAGAATTAACTGTCCAATGAAAATAATAACACCAAATGAGAATTTTAGTCCACTGAATTAATTAATGGTTGAGAAACAACATTAATTAAAATCAAGAAATAGTATTTAAAACCAGTTAAAACCTCTAATTTTGAACTGCCTTTTTTATGATCATTTAATTAACAAAGGGAAAAACAAAAACAAAAAAAACAAAAATAATTTGTTTTTTTTTTTTTTGTAAAATCAAGAATGGACATGGTAGAGGAAGCCCTCCAACTACCCCTCCTCGCGGACGAATCGCCGACGTCATCGAAACCGACGAAAACTCCAGCGCAAAAGGCCGTCCGGAAGGCGTTCAAAGGTACGGCCCACCTCTCGAACCTCCCACCGACGGGGTCCGTCCTCACCTTCCAAATCCTCTCCCCGGTTTTCACGCACGAGGGCAAATGCAAATCGTTCGTAAGCCAATCGACCACCCTCTTCCTCCTCGGCCTATGCTCCGTCTCGTGCTTCCTCCTCTGCTTCACCGACAGCTTCCGCGACGAGCGCGGCAAGGTCCGGTACGGCCTCGCCACCTTCCGCGGCCTCTGGATCATCGACGGCGGGGGGCCCGCCGCCCCCGCCATGGCGCCGGAGGAGGCGGCCAAGTACCGCCTAGGGTTTGGCGATTTCTTCCACGCGTTGATGTCGGTTATGGTTTTCGCTGCGGTGGCTATGTTCGATCAGAATGTGATCAATTGCTTCTATCCGGAACCTTCCGAGGAGGCTCTCGAGATCCTGACGGCTTTGCCGGTGACCGTGGGGGTGATTTGTAGCATTTTGTTCGTTATTTTTCCGACTAGGCGGCACGGAATCGGCTTCCCTCTTTCGCGGAATTAGTTGCATCGTCGATTTGTTCTTCTTTTTTCATGCATTGTTTTTTTAAAGGATCATCTTCCATTGTATTATGATGATGCATCATATTATATTTTAATTCATTGGATGTTTGAAAGGTTTTAATTGTTTCCCTTTTTCTTTTTTTTTTTTTGAAAGTTTTTTAAAGGTTTTATTCATTGCCAATTGTGAAATTAATTAACAACAGAAAATTAAACATGAAAGAACAACATAATTAATTTAACTTTAAATTACAGTAACCACGGATCAAATTACGAAAAACCCCTTTATGTTTGGATAATTACAACCACCCCTCAACTATAAAATTTCTTACACGTCCACCTCTATGGTGTCAAAATCAACAGAATCTTCTAGGTTATGAAGAATGTTCTCTAGTTTGTATTCATTTTGTGCAAAAATACAGTTTCTGATGCATAACAATCTGATATTTACAAGTCAAAAGACACACATCTTATGATGATCTTGTTGAATGTGGAGATCATGATAAAACAGGTACAAACTGGAAAATATTCTCCATAATCTAGAAGATTCCACTAAATTTAACACCGCAAGGGTGGACGTTTAAGAAAATTCATAGTTGAGAAGTTATTGTAATTACACAAATATAAGGGGTTGTTTTCGTAATTTGACTTATCCAAGTGGTGGCCGTAATTTGAATGCAGAAATTGCCAAAATAAATACTAAAATATTGATTATGATTACAATTTACAACGACAAAATATCAAAACTGATCTCCAAAACAGGAGAGTGAAAAAAAAAGAGCTAATTGCATAAAACCCCCTGTGTAATCTTGAATGGCCGAAAAAACCCTCATGTTAAAAAAATTAGCAAAAACCCCCATATGTTATCTTCTATAAAGCACACTCCCCCTTGTTTCGTTTTTTTGTTGTTGACTTCAATGAAATGACAAAATTACCCTGATTAAAAAATTAAACAAAATCAAAATACCCAACCCAAAAAAAAAAAAAAAATGAAAAATAAAATAAAAAAGGTATCAAAAGAAGAAAAAAAATAAAGAAATAAAAATAAAATTGCTGTAGAATTGCTCTTACCCGTCAAACCACCCCACCCCCAACCCAACTCCAAACACAAACCCAGATTCCATGAAAGCTCTCTAATGGTGCATCAACAGTAGCACACGTCCGGGGACCATTGTCTACCAGCAATTGAAAACGTCTGCGGCGGCGGCGTGCGGTGGATCTTGACCTCATGGAGCCATGGAGGTACGGTGGTTTATGGCGGTGACCGTGGTGGAGGCGGTCTTGGTGTCGACCTCATTCATGTAAGAATCAAGGTTCACAAAATTTAGAATCGAGTTTTGGGAGGTAAGTTGCCAACCCTCGAACCCGAGAACGAATTGGAGCCGGTTTAGATCTATTTTGTGTTGCCGACTTCCAAACGATACCGTTTCGAAGTTCGAGTGCTGGTCGGAGTGAGCCCGATGATGCCGTTTTGGGGTAGAAATCGAGTGATGTTTTCTGATGACGAAGACGCCGGAGATGGTGTGCAGCTAGTTGAGTGAACATTTTTTATTTATTATGGAGAAGATGGCTTTTTTGAAAAGGTTAAGGATTGAATTGATTTTTTTTGAAAACTTCATTTTGGGGCATATAGAATTTTGGGGTGAATCTGTAATTTTTGAAATTTATAATTTGAAGGGCATTTTGGTCCTTTCGGGTCAAAAATACACCCCCAGTCGCACAATCCGCGTGTGGAGCACACGATAAGCTGACAGGGACCTTGTTGCCTTTGATTAATTTTCGTAGGGGGGTTATTGCTAATTTTTTTAACACAAGGGTTTTTTCAGCAATTTTGGATTACAGAGGGGTGGTTTTTGCAAAAAACCCGAAAAAAAAACTAGATCATCACCATTTAATTAATTAGTACTCGTCATTAATTAGAATTAATTAATTAATTAAGAGGGAGGTTTTTGTATTTTGAGTTGAGGAAGAACTAGAATTGTGTGTAAAAAGTGTCCGTTTTACTCTACTTAATTAAAACTAGAAAAAAAATTTGATTTTAAACGACACGTGTCATCTTTTAATTTGTTATTCCCTATTTTATAAAGAGTTCGTGTTCATCCCCACCTCTCTTCGACTTGTCTATCTGAGTCTCCAATGGAGAATTATTTCAAAAAATATATATATATATATATATATATATATATATATATATATATATATATATATCTCAGACACAGTCTAATCCTTGTTGAACTAGTAAATCTACTTCAACCCTAACTCAAAAACCTTTCTCTCTCTATATATATATACATATACATACATACCCTGATCTGATGATATTCGATCACTGCATTCACACAACAAGATTAAATTTAATCAAGAACAGCTAACGTTAACAAACCATGACGAATGAAAAAACAACAGATCAAAACCAACGAAACCAATCACCTGTATGGAGTAATGGCGTCCTCGTCAACTACTTGTTCGTCTCCGATGAAAAATACGAAGCGATCATGTCATCGATCGCTGCCATGAACTCACTGAGTCTCGAGTCAGCCAAAACTCTGTTCGAGACCACTGAGGATATACACAAGGACCATCGGAACAACGAGACGAGGCGACGACCCCGCCCGGACTACATGCATGGCCACTTCCCCGCCGCCATCAACCCGCTGCACCGGGCCCACTGCGTCGAGCACCTCGTCAACATGTCGGTGTGGCTCGGCCACAGGCAGGAGACCCTCCACCTGGCGGTCAACTGCCTCGACCGGTACCTGTCGTCAGTGGCCGGCAGCTACGATCTGCGTGCGCCCATCGTCATCGTCGCGGTTGCCTGCATGGCGATCGCATGCAAGTACGTGGAGAACAGAGTCAGCGAGTTCGGCCTGAAGGAGTTCGTCCGCATCAGCATGAACATGTTCACGTGCGACGACATCGTCAGAACGGAGCGTGTGGTTCTTAGGCAGCTCAACTACGAGCTGGCGGGCCCCACCGCGTGGAGTTTCCTGGAGAGGTACTTGACGGTTGCGGAGTTAGGAGAGACGAGGGGTAGTTTGGGGGATATGGCTAGTTACGTCGTGGAGTTGTCTCTTGTGTCGTACGAGATGCTTCGATACTTGCCCTCGATGGTGGCGGCTTCTACGGTTTTCTTGACTCGGTGGATACTTTTTCCCGGGGACGCGCCTTGGGACGCCAAGATGGAGGACTACACGCGGTATCAACCGTCGGATCTAAAGGAGTGCGTGTTGGAGTTGCACGCGTTGTACGAGGTTAGCACCAACGGCAAACCGGATTTGGTTGCGGTCAAAAAGAAGTACGACGGGGGGAAGTACAATGGTGTTTCGTCGTGGATTTCTCCTCCTTCTATCCCTCTTAATTTTTTTAGCAATTCTTATACGGACCATGTTACTACGTAGAGCTAGAAAAATCTTGGATTGAATTTGTTTGAAAAGTTGAGGGTATCTTTGTCATATATTATGGTTGACACTGTAGGGCTGGAAAAAAAATACCAATTACCATGTACCACGGTATACCTACCAAGAAATACCGAACAATTACCGAAAGAACGGTTACCAATGTTTACGGTACGGTACTAGTACCGTACCATTACAATATGGTACGGTAGTGGTATTGTATTTCTAATACCATGGTAATACCGTACCGTACCGCAATTTATATATATTTTATAATTCGATTAAGATATATTTACTTCGATATTATTTTTTGTAATTACTCCATCCGTCCCAATTTAAATGACGTTTTGGGTTGTTGCACACATATTAAGAAAATCAATTAATGTGTATAGATTATAGTAAAAAGCATAGAAAAATACTAATATATCCTTGACATCAATTGTTTTACAACTAACTAATCAAGAGTGATAAAAGGTAAAATTGAAAATAATGAAATTAATGATGCATTGAAAATTTAAAATGACAAATAATTTGGGACAAGAAAAACTCCCGAAAAAGACATATAATATGGGATAGAGGGAGTATATTTTTTACTTGGAAGCTTATGAATTGCAACAATTATTTTTACCTTATGTTAGTGGTAGTATATTTTTTTTTCCGACCAAGTTGAATTTTATAATTGGACATGTATATTATGTTAAATTATCATGTATGTTACTGTTGGGTGCTAAATACCTAACACGCAAGTGCACGTATCGCAAACAAGTAGTAAAAGTGGACTCGTGAGAGTCGGATGTCGATCCCACAGGGAATACGTAAATTATCTAATCCTAAGTACCAAATTCTAACAACTATGATTTTTATCCAGCCTACGCAAGTTTGTCGAGTTAAATCAATTAAACAATTAAACTAATTAAGAAAGCAAAGAATCACGAGAAAATATCAATATAAAATGGACCTAGGATTTTATCTTCCCCCTATGCAAGAATTGCTCACCCAAAACCCCTCAATTATGAAATACATGATTCATGATTATTAACCCGAGACACTAATTTACTCATAACCCGCTGTCGCGTGTATTATGAGTCTATTATTCATAAACGATTCACTATATGTCTATGCAAACCAATTATAAATAAAGCATTAACTAACAAGTCTCGTAAATGGCTACCTAAGGTGATATCTGTATGTCTACGACACCACATGCAATTGACACACTCATCCGGTGAAAACTACTCGAAGGCTCTTCTACCTACCGTCTAATTATCAAAATAGCTCTGTCGAGTCAATCCCAATAATCACAGATAAAGCACATAAATTGATCAGGTTCATACACTAACAATCATAACAAGTAGAAGAAATAATCATAAAATCATAATTGCATAATCTCAAGAAAACGGGTTCACCATCCCCACATAGGGTTCCGACAAAATCCTAGATTAAAAACTTAGCTACTCGTAATTCTTATGATAAGCAAAATAAAATAAATAAAACAAATAAGAAAAACTATGCTTGAGTCTTCGTTGATCTTCGTTCTTCGCGTTTTGGGGTGTAAAATTTCGTGCTTATGGTGTAGAGACATGTTGCTTTTATAGGCTTTTCTTGATAAGGAAGTAGTAGAAACCTAATAGGAATCAATTTCCGCCACTTTCCCCCATCAGGACTTGTTCTTCGATTTTCGCCATGTTGGAGTCCGAATTTTGGAATATTTTGTAAATAAGAATTGTAGCCCTTGAAATTAGCTTTCCAATGCCGCCAAAATCACCTAATTCGGAGTTCGTATGAGAGAGATATGCTCGAAATCGTGGACACTGTCAAAGCTGTGGCGAGATTCCTTCTTCCAATTTGATTTGTTTCCTTATTTGCAACTTTTTCCTTTCTTTTTGATCTTTTTTCCTTCATTGACACCTAATTCTCGTTTTTCACCTATAAAACACAAAATCAATCAATTAAAGCACAAATATAATTAAATCTAAACAAAAGATCCACGTAAAGTAAACGTATTGAGTGTAAAATCTACACTCAACAGTTACCTATTGCCAACTAATTTTATTATATTTCATGTATGAATATCTTTTTTTTACATGCATATACATGTACGTATAGTATTAGTAAAATATTTATTGTATGTACTAATTATTAAGTACAATCAAGTATTTAAGATATTTTAGTTGTTCCATTAAACCACATTTATTTGGGTTTATATTCTTGTTTCATTGAAGCAAGTTATGTTAATTATTCATGATTATTACACTCGGGCATTCTTAGAAAATTAGATACACTAGAATTATTTTCAATTGAGATTTACATATTTGTTAGCTCATTTGTTCTTTAATATTTGATACAATCACCACGTACGGTAGAGTACCACGTACCGATTGTACCGTACCGAAAATAACGGTATACCAAACATTGGTATACCGAATATTTTGGTACGGTAACGGTATGAAATTTTTCAATACCACAATGTACGGTAGGTACACGGTATTGAGCCAAATGTTTGGCAACCGTACCGAATCCACCCCTAGTTGTCAGTTTTAAAAATAGAGTTTATTTTGAAATAGAAAAATACGATTTTATTGTTAAATTTTTTAGATTAAATTTTGAGCGGATCGGCCAATATTTAATATAAATCGGATTCCATGAGGGTTTTTTTACGTTTCAATTATCCTATGACATCCGATTTTCCTATTAAAACAGGTCATCCCGTCTAAATTTTCACCATAAATTTTTAAAGTCCTTGCTTTGGGAACTCCACGTAGTTATCTTATTAATTATTTACTTTATTTTGTTAAAAACTATTAAATATTTAACCAAATACGTAGAGTAATTATACAAGGGCAATTGTAAATTTACAATAATAATTTATTAATTTATTTTACTGCAAGGATTGTGTCTATACAACGAACAAATATTACAAAAACATATATATAGATATATAATTTATGTATGTATATATATAATTTATATATAAAAATGTGTCCAGCTACTGTGATAGAATCCAACAGTTGAACTCGAGGCAAAATTATTGTCAAGACATACAAGAAATACACATGTATTTAATTTATCAAAGGAGCAGCTAAATTCGAGTCGATATCATCACTTATCCTCTCCGTAAATCTATAAAAATCGGCCGGTAACGGAATATCAAGCTCCGAGCAAACCAACTTCATCACCTTTGCAGTCACGCCTCCAAAGTTCATTTTATTCAAAGTCACAGCAATAGCAAATCTATTCTTCACATCACAGTACCCGGTCGACCCGCCCATACCCGAATGCCCGAACCCGATCAACTCACCACCCTCAGAATAGGATCTCTTAAACCCTAGACCAAACTGCCCGCCGGAAAGCACCAAATCCTCGTACTCTCCAACTCCCATAAACGCATCATGAATTCTGGCGTTACCAAAAATCTTATCCGTGCTTACATTGCCCAATCCGTCATCACTGGGAACTCTAGTGTAGTCCTTGGCAATCACAATTTCGCTCAAACGGTCGGATTTTTTCTGTTTCTTTGAGGGTTTTAGAGACGGGAATTTGGGGGTGTGGGGGTGGCTTCCCAAACGGGGGTGCGTGGGAGAAGAGTGTGCGTGCGGCGGTGGAACAGTGCCTCGATCAACGAGGGCGGCATAGTAGCGGGCAAGAGCGCGGGCGGAGCAATGGGCATTGGCGGCGGGTATGATTGCACGGCGGGCAAAGAGTGTGTTAAATAAGGCAGGGAGAGTGGACGCCATTTGGGAGACGTCTTGCACTTGGAAGCTCGACGGTAGTTCCGGGCGGTTGGCCATCTCTGAGAGTTTCTTGATTTCATCCATGTCGGATGTGAGTGTAGCGAGTCGAGATTCCACACCTAGGAGAGAGAAATTTACACACCGTTAGGATAGGGGTACTTTTGTAATTTAGCATTACCTCATCTGGGTGCTTGTGTACTTTTTTACCCTTGAGCCCTAGTTACTCTTACAGATGGAAATTGGACAGATATGATCGGGATTAAAAGTTTCGGAAAATTTCTGATTTTTTTTCGAAAGTGAAAAACTAATTGCAGTTCCGTTCTAAAAAACAAAATTTCAAAATTGGAATTTTAGAAATTGAGATGAAAAACGGAAAGTTTCAGATTGGAATCAACGGAATTCGGAACTAACGTTCCAATTTCCACCCCTAGTTACTCTACATGAAATAAACAAGCTCCATTTTGTGCATCTACTTAAACAAAAACTCATGTGATTCCTACTTGTGAACTAATATTGTCTATAGTATAGAGTCGATAAACCAGAATTATAATAGCTCGTATGTAGACTTTGCGTGTGAACATTAAGGCCAACGGATAAAGGTACAAATAATTGCCTGGAGGAATCCCAATGTATAGCTCGCCATCTATATTAAGAGGGCGAACAAATGCTTCTTCGAGAATCTCCTGAAATTTCTTCGTAGATGCATGCTTCACAATGAAAAACATGATGATTAGTATTAAGTTTAGTTGCACAAGGAAATAATAAATCACACAGATATTTTTTGGTCGTCTCACAAAAATCACCAAAGACCATACCCTGACGGCCTGACATAATCAAAGAGTAAAGATGTTTGATACCTCGATAATGCCGCCACATAACCAGCCAAAAGATAAATAATGGTACTGCTGTATATGGCCAGGTTCAGTCTCTGGCGTCGTATTTGCAATGCAATTCAAGCATTCGTCCCAATCGGCCATAACTAGAGGATTTTCACGTGTAAGATCAGCCATGGCATTGTGCAAACCAGATGTGTGATTAAGCACGTGATGGACCTATAGCAAATTAAATGAATATCATAAAACAAATTAGGAAGTCTACTTAATTGCATCAAGAAGGGGAACTTAGATAACAACTTGACTGAAGTACAATCTCTTGGATTTACGAAAATTCAAGCGATAATATCATCTAGTCAATAAATAGATAGGGTACTCAATAGCCACATTCTTTTTTTTGTAATAATCTCCTTTTTGTTTAGGTTGTTTTGAAACGAATTTGTTGGTAACAGACGAAACGCTGCACAGTGGGAGGAGAATTCTCCGGGATATGGGATCCCAAAATATTACCTTTATTTGGTCTTTTCCATTGGTTCCAAATTCTGGCCAAATATTTCCGACTTTGTCGTCAAGCTTCAGCTTCCTGCTTCATGAAGTTCAGACAGTTACTACTAAATAATCCAAACACATTTTCGTTCACATGCTTTCTTCAAAAGCAAGGTGATATTTTCTCAATCTTGATGAATAAGCTTAAAGTTTTTCATACCCTTGATCGACCAGCCAATGAAGCATCCCTGCTGTAATTCCTTTAGATACAGAAAAAACAGGGAATAAACTATCAGGCTGAACTGGTCTAGGATCATATCTCCCAAGTACTCCAGCAGCAGTGTCAATAATTACTTCCCCATCTTTATATGCACACACCTAATAAATTCAGGGAAAAATGATAATGTTTGTGAAAGAAGCCGCATAAATTCATCGAAATAAAGAACAATTATATCAATGAACTAACAAGGGAACAAAAAGTGTCAAAAAATTTAACTCGTCATTTTTTCATAGTAAATAACTTTTTCACGAGAATCACTACATTTGGAGATCATTGAGAAAAGGTGAATAAAATCCATATTGAAAAGGGAAAAAAAAAGATTAATATTTGCAAAATGTAATATTGTCATCACATTATGTCCTTTTGTTTAATGGAGCAATAAATCCTTAAATTACTTTCATATATGTCATAAATCAGTGGCATCTACCTGGATTCCCAGTACTTTATCCGCATTTCCAAGCTCGATTAAGAGTTTCCGCAGTTTGTCTTCAGTATTGGAAAGAGCAGGAGTGTCATGGATCCAGTTGGTATTAAATGCTGGCCCTCTGTTCACATTGCTAAAACAAGTTTTGCAAGAGTAAATGATGCATCCTTATATAATGTTTTGAAAATATTGAAAATTATAAAATTACAGCTCACCATTGTAAAACAGATTCGGCAAATGGTCTCATGATATCCACATAAACTACGCGTACATCCATTGACGATGAAAGGCCTGCATTACATGTTAATTATAAAATTTATCGCAAATAATGTACACACCAAAATGAAGAATCATGTACGTAAAGATTTACTGGGATACCTCTGAGAAGATTAATGACCCTGCTGAAAATAATAATATCACCTGGAAAAGCATCAACCTGAAAGAAAAAAAAAATGTTGAAGTGTGTTCTTGGAAAATAAGAACGGTTCACTAATTGGTTAAAAATATCATGACAGAGGGCGTTACTTGAACTTACAGGATTAAAACGTTTTACTTCTTTTTTATTGAGATTCATCTTCTCTTGAAGGACCTTCAGGTTTTTGTTCCTTTGCTCAGCAAAAGCTTTCATATTTTGCTTCAGAAGGTAGTAGAATCAGTTTAATACATAGAAGGAAGAACAAATTTTTAGACAATATTATTCCTGCTTACTTGAGCTTCATTTGCTGGGGTTGAATTACGAAAGAATACATTTGATATTTCCATCACTTGCTCGGGAAGATCCAAGCGCAGCTTAAGTCCCATTTCTGCAAAGGAAGATAGAAGTGCGACATGGTCACCCTGCAAGAGGTAGAAAAATAGAAATTCGTGAACTTTGATCGGAATATTTAATGTTATGCAAAAGAATGACAGTCATAGACAGGAAAATGCAGGCAACTTTTGGATCAGCCAGAACAATTCGTACAAGCCCATAGATATTGACGTAATGCTATTCTTCAGATATAGATACAGACCGATGTTCAAGGACAGGAATATGGAGTGAGCTTATAATCATGTAATCTACTGGTTTTTGTGCTTACGAATCATATGTGATATATTAAGCATTGGTTACTGTAAGCACGAAGCATCCAAATAGTAGGGGAAGTGTTACAAACCTCGGCAGATGCTAGAAACATTTTTGCTAAAGCTTGTTTCAGTGAAGGTGATAGCCCCTTTGTCAGCCCAAAATCCAGCAAAATTGGATGATGTGGAGGAGCCTTGCTCACAAGAAAATTTCCTACATTACAATCAATAGAAAAACCAGGACAGAACGTAAATGAATAGCCTCCTAATATACAGAACAAGAAATGCCTCGTCGAGTAAATGCAATAACAACGAAATGAGACTGTGACATACACACAGAACGAGAATGTAAGAGAGAGTACCAGGGTGAGGGTCACCATTGAAGAATCCATCAACATAGATTTGGTGTGCATATGCTCGCGTAATTTCTTCAACGAGTTTTTGCTTGTCCACACCCATTGCTTGCAGAGACTCGGAGTCATTTAGTCGTACCCCATCCATATATTCTAGAACGAGGACTCTTTCGGTTGACTGCATCGCAGAATAGATTGTGAAGATGGTGTAATGAACCATTATTATAAGAAAACTCCAATTAAACAAATGGTGGAGAAGATAAAAAATCTTTTATCACATGTCTCTCTTAGAAAAAAACAATTGGAATTACACGTGAAGAATAATACCAGAATAACTTCTGGAATTAAGACTTCCACACGATTTATGTTGTTAACTTCAGAATTACTTTTGCAACCCAGGTTCCTGGAAACTATCCGAGTATTTTCTGCAGACCAAAAGTAAGCATCTTTAAGAATTATTGGGTGCTGAGAAATGGAAATGACAAACCAGTTCAATCAATTATCACAAGCATACCAGCCTCAATGTTGAAGTCAAGTTCCTTGGGTGCTTCTTTGCACCACTCATCTATCATAGGATTGAAGTTATACTGTGGTTCTGCCCAAGCAATCCAGTCAACTATCGACTTAGCATTCTTCAAATCCTGTCAAAGAAGGAAACAAAAAATTAGTACAATGACATGAATGATGAACTAAAGCTAATTAATCTCAAGTGCATGTAAAAATAAAAAAATAAATAAAAAAAAGCAAGAAAACCTCCAATATGATTTCCTTTATGCCCTCGTGTTGAACTTTAACAACAACTTCCTGCCCATCACTCAGAGTAGCCCGATGAACTTGAGCTATCTACATAAAGCGCAAGGGACACATTTAAGTCATTAAGGAAATATTTTTTACTGCCACAATCCTTCATTTGATCTGCATTTTATTATCATGCTTTTACCGATGCTGTAGCCAGTGGTGCATTATCAAAGCTCAAGAAGAGATTGTCCATAGATTTCCCCAATTCTTTATTGATAGTCTGACGAACCTGTGCAGATTGCAGAAGAAGCTTGTTATATACTAATACCTGTTACTGTCATTCAAATATTGAGTAGGACATTCAACATATATAAAATGCAATTTGTGCGCATGTTCATATCTATGATGCTCATTTATTTGCAAGGTTCCCACCTCAGGGATTGCTTATTCCAATTTTCCAAAATAATACAGTGTTATCCTACCAAGTTCAAAACATTTGTTTTTCCTCGTCACTTGCTCTTATTTAATTATTCTCCTCCACTACCAATGTAATGATCCTCAAACATTGACTACAGTAGACATATTGATCGTCAACCCCTCTACATAAAAAAATTCATTGCCTGATCACATGTATTTTTAGTACATTGGAGTTGGTATGTACTAACAATAGTCATCACAAAATTCAGGCCAAGCAAACTGAGTAGATTATATACATGGAAAAATTATAGCACATGCAATTTCTACCTCTACACTGGTGAATATATCTTTCATGTTTCTCTTGGATTTATTTCCAAGGCGGAAACGGAACGAGGTCATCTATATGCCTCACTTACAGAAAAACTTAATTTCTTAAAATGCTTTAACATTATAATAAGTGAAGTTAGAAGTTACCTCTTTTAAGGGGCGAGGGGGAAGAGAGTCCTGTAGCTGCTTTAGAAGCCGTATATAGGCTGGTGGAAGCACATCGGCGCGCGTAGATAGGTACTGTCCTAGCTTCACCCATAACCCTTCAAGCTCTACTATCAAATTGAGAAGGCGCTTAGCGTTACACTCGTGTGCTTTCTCCCAAAGATCAGCCTTCTTTGAATTCTTTGTCCATTTCTCTCTCAGTTGCAGGGACTGTAGATAAATCATACACAAGAGGAGAACAAATTGCCTTCAAATTTTATGAAGTACGAATAGAATAGGAAAAACACCAAAGAACAACAACTAAGAAGGATAATGACCTTATAATCCAGGTAGATTACAACAGCTAATGCGAACACTTTCATGCGCCTCTTGTATATGCTTCCCCATCCCATTGGAAGCAGCTTTCTTGCAAACTGTGTATTTTGAAAATTATGGAGTATGAATATTACACGGAAATGATCAGACAAGAACCTAATACGCCACAACAATCAAGGGAAACCACGATTAAACATGTCCAGTGCTACATGATTATTTTAAATTAAAATAAGAACAGACAAAGACAATGTAAACATTCCTTGTAAGAACAACGACAAATCAGGACGAGGTCGAAATCTCGTTAGATACATAACTTTACAGGATTCACATTAAGCACTGAATTTAAAAATCGGAAGGAATTGCTACACCTGCAATTTTTAATATATTTTCAGCTCTGGTCCCCAATTGTAGAATTCCTCAACATTATACACTTCAAATAAGACGCAATTGTATAAAACTAATATCTCATGTGTTTCTGAGGGTTTTCTTCTCGATTTGCACGGAAATCAGCAGCAATTCCATGAGATAATCCACAAGTACAGAATTCAAACACCTTTTTTTTCACCTAATTAACAAATTAACTCGACCAAATACTAATAGAGTAATCATTCATCGCAATAAAGCAATAGATACATACACACACAATTATACATATTCACAACATAAAAAATCACAGAAAAGAGATGAGTGATCACTGATCAGAAAAAAAGGACGATGATAGAATTCACCTGGATAATAGAGAGATAAAATGAGCGAGTGGAGGCGGAGGAATACTGCTGGAGGCTACAATGGCGAAATGAACGGCGGTGGATTAAACGACGTCGTCAAAGATGCGATTCTGGAATTTGGGGGTTTGCTTATGGTCGACGTTTTGGTCGGCATTTCTCCTCACTCGCTGAAAATGACTCTCTGATAAATATGACGTCACCGATGGCGTAACCGCTTTTCGACGCGTCCCTTTTTCTTATTCACTTAATGGAGTATTTGCTATTAATTAATTATTATTTAGTTTACTTAGGCCCCGTTTGGTTGACAAGATAAGATTAGCCAAAATAAGATTAAATAATCTAATGAGACCCAATTATTTTATTGGAGCTTGAAAGGTCCAACAAAAAAAACTCATTAAAAGGCAAGATAAGCCAAGATAAGACAAGATAAACCATGATTATATAATTTTGGCGGGTCGACCCGGCAAGTTATTGAGGATACCAAACATCAAATTAAGTCCAACTATTTAGTTAATCATGGCTTATCTTGGCAACCAAACGGGACCTTAATTTATGTAATCAAAATCAAAATCCGTCCACATTATAAATCTAAATTATATGATATTTTGGAGATGATGCAGGTCCAAACTAGTGGTGTAAATGAGCTGAGCCGGCTGGTGAATTTTACCGGTCAACTCGACAAATGCTTGAATTTGCTGTCGAGTTTTTCGAGCTCGAGTTTGAGTTTTTTCATATATGTTATTGAGCACGGGAGCCTACTTTTTTTATTTTTTTACATACTATTTTAATTCAAATAATATAAATAAAAAAATAATAATAAGGCGGTGGATATATGCAACCCCATTTTTTTATTAGTTCAAACTCACATAAAGAAGTTTATTAGTTCAAGCCCGTAAATTAATTTAATTTAATTACATCAAGACCAAACAGTACGAATATGCCCTTATTAATAAATAATACCCAAATACAAACAAACTTTATTTTTATTTCTTCAAGAGCAAAAAAATTTTAAAAAAAAAAGTAAAAATAAAACAAAAAACAAAAAACAAAAAGAAATAGAAAAAAAAATAGAAAAAACTCACAACTGCCACTAGCAGACCGCCAAGACACCGACCAGCGAGACTTCTACCGCGCCGGGCTCGAGCTCGAACTTGTCAAAAATGGATTTGAACTCTCCAAAACAGCCCGACTCGGCTCCTTTAGACCTCCACTCCAAACTGATCATAGTCCCCGAACTATATGAACTAATAAATTATACATATACGGAAGGCCATATTTAATTATTTATAAAAAATGTATTAAACGTAAGGGGACAACTATTTTAAATCCCAACTTTTGCTTACTTGAATACTACCAAGTTTAAAACCAAAATTGAGTACATATTTATCAGTTTTTTCTTACTTTAATACCAAAATAAAAAGAAAAGTACAAAAGCACCCTTTCATACAAAATATCAATTATATCAATTTTTTTTAGAAATTGCCTATTCAAAAACCAAATAAAAAAAAAAAAAAAAACCCTTTGTTGTAAAAAAAAAAAAACCTTCACCATTTCTTCTCCTCTCCAACCCTCGCCGCCGCCGCCGCCGAACGCCACCGTACGTGCTCGTAACTGCCGCGACAACCCAATTAAACCCTATTTTTTTCATCTTCTTAAATCCTCCAAAACATCTCCAAATTCAAAAAATCAAAACCTCACAAAACTTATAAAATGGAGTTATAAGACAATAATATGGTAGTATATGTGGAAAGAGAAGCCATTAAGGTAAGTATAGATGTCTTTTTTGAGCTTCGAAGTCGATTTTGAAGTTTTTTTTTTTGAAACCCGTCGGCAATTTTCGACACATACAGGTCGATTTTTTGGTCAATTTTCGACACCAACGTGTCGAAAAAAAAAAACAAATTTCGACACATACCTGTCGAAAATTCTCCAAATTTCGACAGGTATGTGTCGAAAA